GACATAAGGAGATAACGAGGCCATTTTCTTTTCAGACGCCTTGGAGGCGATTGAATTTAAATTCAAAATATATTTTTTCTCTCTTATTTTATTTCACTTAATTTTAAAATTATTCAACTAACGAAAAGAATAACAATAATTTACAAGGGAGCTAATGAGTTTTTCAATTTTTAAAACGGTCATTTAAGCCATGGTAGATAATAGGTGATAAAAATTTCAAAAGTTACTTTAAAAGACGATACTGCCCCCAGTAGGCCAAGGAAGATACGGCGGTAAGATGGCGGGGAGAGCACTTAAAGTCTATTTTATGGCGCACTTGAGTGCAAATGGGAACTCCTGATGCATTAACACTAAGGTTAAACAGCCTATCTTGATAAATACGAGATTAATATCACACCTCACAACTTTCTCAACATTTATTTTCATTTCATGAATTATCTATTCTACAAGAAAACATTATTTTCTCTATTATTTTTTTCAATTTTTTTTTAGGAATTCACTTCGAATATCAAGCTGATGACTCCGCATAGCAATTTTTAAAAAATGGGAGTACGAAAAACCACTGACGAATTTCATTGAAATTTAATCACGTCAATGAAAAAATCGATCACTTATGTCATATTGAAAGAAAAAATATATATATATTTCCTAGTTGTGCCTAAATTTGACACATTTTTATGCAATTAATGAATTTAACATTTATTTTTTTATTATTATGTTTTTATGCCTGTTTTTCCAACTTCATAAAATAAAAAAAAATGAATTAAAAAATCAAATTATAGGCTTTTAAATCTTCCAACAATTCACAAAATAAATTTTATTTTAGGTTCGCCAATGTGATACATAATTTTCAGATATGAATAGAAATTTCAGGAACAGCGTCACTACAATTTTTTGGTGTGTTTTTTAAGGTTAATAGAAGGGATTTACAATTCACCAAGCTTCATTGCTTTGGAAAGGAAATTAACCTATGTCCCTGTTGTGGTATTCGGGAACTGCTGAGCATTTCGTTACAACATGCACCGCTTTTGAGACAAGGGCCAAACTACTGAGGGAAACCAGACTCTATATCATCACGGAGGACGATCTCCCTTAGCTAGTAAGCAAGTATAGCTATCTCTCCTACGAAGTTTTCATGTACGGGTGGAAGGAATTATTGGGTGTTGATCAATTTAACCTCCACTAATCAAGGAGAGGGAAGAACGAAGAAAGAGAACAAGTGGAAGAAGTAATGTGCTGCTCCTTCCAAAAATCTGTGGGGCCGAGAGGCAAGGGAAGATGATAATAAAATAGGGTTTACAATTTCTCAAAATTTTCTATTGTTAGAAAAAACTTTCAGTAGAAAATTTTAGAAAAAATTTCAATAGTAAAAAAAATACCAGAGACAAAAATTTCGTAAATATCAATAGAAAAACAAATCCCTATTCTTTAAAGATTTGAACTTTTCATTTAATTTTGGGGAACATTAACACTATAGGAATCCTGGAACTTTCTGTAAACCGAATAAAATATCTATAGAAACAACAAACGTTTTAGAATTTTAAAAAATAAAAATTCTGCTAATTAATGTAAATGATCACTACGTTTTTATACTTTTTCCATCGTCCTAATTTCTTCATTTAATTGCTTTCGAACATAAAAAAACAAATAACTGTAAAGTTTATTACGAAACTAGCAAACAAATTTGATATTTACTAAATTCAAGTAGAGATTGGAATGAAGAACATGCAGAGTTGTAATCTCACTGTAAGCCATTAGCACTGATAAGATCAGTTCCTGGTTGAATTAGAAAACAAAACTTCAAATTTTATTGAATTTTATAACGTATATATTTATATGGATACATAAATATATACGTTATAAAATTCAATAAAATTTGAAGTTTTGTTTTCTAATTCAACCAGGAACTGATCTTATCAGTGCTAATGGCTTACAGTGAGATTACAACTCTGTGATATATATATATATATATATATATATATATATATATATATATATATACATATATATATATATATACGTTAACATGTAATATAAACGTGAATTCTTTTTATATATGAATTAAAAAATAAATTCATAAATAAATAAGTACATAGGGAAATATTTAGTTTTGAAAGACAACCTAGTGTTTTCTGTACAACCCAGTTAATTGAAAAAATAGCTAAGTCCAATTCATGAAAAATGAATATAAAATAATTGGTAATTTAAAAGAAAGTGATTGTGAAAGTGATATATATATATATATATATATATATATATATATATATATATATATATATATATATATATATATATATATATATATATATATCATTAGAGTGAATAAATATATAAAGGAAATGTATTTGAAAATGTTTGTGGTTTTTAAATGTCATTCTATTCCACTACAGAATAGTTCACAAGGATTGGCATACATAGCGTTTTTATGTCGGTTTACCTAAAACTAAAACCTTTAAGGGGAAATCTCCCACAACCTATTTTATTTTTCTAAAAGATAAAAAAACAACAACAATATGACATACATTCTTAAACAATTAAGTAAACAAATAAAAAATATAATTTTGAAAGTTGATAAATATACTTTGAAGCTTCTTATGTTATAAATTTCAGTAATAAAATTTAATTTTAACCTTACTTTTCTATTTGAATTTTTTAAACCTTATTTTTGAAAATTATAACTGTAAATACTTAAGAATTTCTACTCTTAAAATTAATATCCAAAATATGATTTAAAGAAATAATCTATATAATTTATTTTTTAAGTACTAAAGCAAATGTATTAAACATTCTTATTACTTTTCGAATCAAGTTAGTGTACCTTTAATACAATATATGACTATAGTTCGGTTTGTAACGAAAAAAATTGTTATACTCTAAAAATCCACAAAAGAAATTAGACACGCTTAATTTGACACACGCAGCTGAAATCTTCAATAACAGAACCAGGAAAAGGGTACTTTTTGACAGCCTTGGGCAGACATATGTTGTTATTTTAACGTTACAAGAAAACCGTTTCCATGATGCTGTCAGATGAATTTGCAAGTGGAGGAACCAAACCGTGTAAGAGCTTCAAGAAGTCAATGGAAAAAAGGAGTTTTGAAAAAAAGGCTTTTAATTAATAATGTAGCTGTGTATATGTTATTTGCTTTGTTTTAATTTACTTATTTTTAATTTATTTTATTTATTATATAAACTTTTTGATTATTATTTATTGTTATTTTGCTTCTATTTATTTTTTTTTTTTGTACATATAGTGTGACTATCTCACTAAAACTAATGTCCAAGTGACAAATATTCAATAAGTAAATAAATAGAATCAATAATGATTTCAGCTAATTTATGACCATGAGCGTGGAATAAATGTTTATCCGTAATTTTCATATCAATAATAATATTTTAAATTGATACCTATAATTGTTGGACTACAATTATAGACTATTCCACCAATCGAATTGAAAAAGAGTCTTCCGTAACTATATTTTAAAAAGTATATAGTTCGATTCCCAGCAATGTGACATCACCGACAAAGAAAAATATTTCTAGAATATGATGTGGTCAGCAGAAAATAGGAATAACTCCAAGTCTTGACTGTATAAGGAATATTTTATTAATCTATACAAAGTGAAAAAAAAAATTTAAATCCAAATAAATTGTTAACATACCATATTTCTTAATAAAAGTATAGTATCATTAAATATGTATTAAGAAACCTAACATATATTTGTATTTTAACTATGTCAAAATATCAACCTAAAATAGTGAATTTAGAAATTCCCATAGATTAATTCAATATATTTGATATTATTTCTTTTCAAATAATACATTTAAAAAAAAAAAATTATTCATACTTAGTTAAAAGTGTACATCGCCAATTTGCATACCATTTTTCAAATTCATAACAATATTATAAGTTTTCCTATTTAAGTAACTTAGTTTAGTCAATTGTAAGAAAATAAAATTTTTAAAGTAGAATTTTCATGCTTTAATAAAGCAGTTGAATCTAAACTTTTCGTATACATATATATATATATATATATCCATATACATTTAAGAATAATTCTATATATTTAATGAGCATCCTTTAGAAATAATACTAATAATATTTATTTATATATTATAATAGGTGTGTGGGGTCATAATCTGGTGAAAATATCTTGTAAAAAGTTATTCATGAATCTGTAAATAATTTTTAAAAATCAAACCAGTATTATAGTTTTCCTTTCCACGTAACTAAGACGTTCAGTCAAAAGAAAAAAAAATGTCATAAATTTAACAATAAAAAGCCACAAGGAAATAATAAATCGTGGAAGTGATATATATATATATATATATATATATATATATATATATATATATATATATATATATGTATATAAAAAATATTAAAAATGTAGCTTAGCCTTAGTAAAACATCAATATTTTATTTTTACTTAATTATTGGTCGAAACAAGTTCAAAATTAATCACTATATATATAAATAGCAGGAAATATCTTCTTTTATCAACTCCGTAAAAACTGGAGATAACTGGATGAACATATAGCAGACCACAATTCCCTGAGGCCAGGATGCCACAAGATAATAACAATACACCACGGGGAAGAGGAAGTGGAGGAAGTCCTTTAATAATTCCATGTCTTGCGAAGTTCGCCTCGGAGCCAGCCCATGAATGCCAACACCACTCGTCAACTTTCACCTTTAGCGACCGTGTGTCACCAAGATTGCACTTCACGACTTTGTCACAGGAAGCACGATTACATTTTATTGTAGAGACGATATATTACATGACTTTAAAGCTATTCTTATGGTAAGACTTGGCTATTTGCTTTAGACTGTTCTTTTGTTCATGAAGATGATGAATTATATAAAAAAAAACTATGAGTGTTAGCTGAGTCAGAAAATTAAATACAATAAGAGTCTCAAAAGTGTCGAATTGTGCGTTATACTTTAATTAATGTAGAAAAAATAATATTACTTTTTAATACTTTTAAGCGAACTATAATTAAATTAAATAGTAGGTATATTTACAAGCGGACGTACCTGAGTGTACAGCTTCATCTTCATCGAGCTTGAGTTGCCTCCTCTCTAAGACTTTGTCGGCGGCAGAGCTGAGGAGGGCTTGCTCCTGGTCGTCTTGGAGCTGCTCGATGACGATGAGCGGAGGACTATCCTCCGGCTTGCAGCTGAGCAGAGAAGAAGAACTCCGCGTCAGCTTTCTGGAAGAAGACCTCCGAACAAGAGCTAGAGGACTCCGCCTGCTAGGAGGGCTAGGTTTGATGGCTTCGAGGGCCTGGGCCGAAGAAGAAAGTAGTTTAGCGGATACCTTGAGCAGGGGAGAACGTACCCTGGCAGCCGGAGAGTTCGGGGGCTTCGGCCTGGGGGAGCTCCGTCTCAAGGGTTTCGGCTTCTCCTCGCTGGACCGTTTGATCGAGGGGGCCCTCGGGGGCGGAGTCCTCGACTTGGGGTCCAAGGGTACGTAGAAGACGGATCGCCTCCTGGCTGTGGCAGCATCACTATCGGACAACATTGCTCCGTAGGCTACATATCACACAGCACGACAGCACTTCACAACACAGACCTCACACCTCCGCACCAGCTCACAGCACAGCGCGGACTAAGGGACTCTAGCAGTGTTCGGGTCGGTCCGCCTCAGTTCGGCTGTCTCCGTTCCTCTCTCCGACTGCACACGCTCTACGTTTGGCCGCGTCCTATGGACTCTCAAATCTTCCAACTCAAATCCTCTACTACTATATTGTATTTTCGTAGCTAACTAGCAGTACTTTAATTTATGACAATAATAACATTAAAAAAATTAATTGAGGATAGTTTTTGGCTGTGTAAGATTTATTGAAGAGAAGTTAAGTTGGTTATGGTTTTACGTCAATGAAAGTACTGAAAATAAGTAAAAATAAATAAATTATATTTATTCTTATTTCCGTTGTTAATATTATTTATTTTTGTATTATTATATATTGTTGTTATTACCTTATTACCGTTCGGCCTTAGTATAACTTAATTAAAATTTATAATGATACTTTTTTTTTTTTTACTTAGGCACTTCACTTTTTACTTAGGCAGTGAAGAGAATAATTTATTTCGATTTTTCGTTATTCAGGCAAATATAGCACCATTTATTGTAAGATTATTTCTTATATAATACTTAAGTTATCGAAAAATATGAATATAATAGTGATGGACAAAACTATTAATTAATTAATTAAGTTTCAAACCTTGAAAATACAAAAGAAACTTTGAAGGAACTTAACTATTCTTTTATACTAATAATAATAAGGGTTAACGAAGCCGAAGGTCCGATTTTCACATCTCTCTAATCATGTAATCTTTTAAGGCACTTTTTATATATTATATACTGGGTATTCTGAGAATTATTTGTTTTTATTTTTTGGTTTATAATATAATTGTTATCCTTTCACTGTTTAAAAAACGTACGTTAATAATAAATAATTAATTTCCGATGAAAATAATTTTTATCACCGAATGAATTATGATTTAAATTGCCAAAAATGCATTATAACTCCATGAAATATCAATTTTGTGAGGGAAATGTTGTTAATAAATTAAACAGGTCCATGTATAGTTGCTGTTTTCCCTCGGTATCAACTAATTTGTACTGGAAGATGTCTTCCCTTGTGGTCGTTTAATACTAATTTTAACAGTTAACTGTATATGTTTAACGAAAAAAAATTTTTTTTTCAACTAAACAGCATACTATACTAAATAAAAGTCATTAACTTAAACCTATGAAATCCTTCTGCGTAACTATTATTTGAAGTTTTAACGGTTGCCAATATATCATTTGAGAGATTGAAACAAACACGATCATGAAATAGGGACATTTTTATACTTCAAAGATCACAAAATAAAGATTGAACATTTTTCCAAAATTTATTCTACCAGAAAGCATATTTATGAGACATATCAGTTTCATATTTGTTTATAATTCATAATTTTTAACAACAAACATTTGAAACCCAAAATGCTGCAAAAGGTTTACTAAACTGAGCATTCGTAGAAAGCACTACTGAACGACCAGTGCGGTGCTTGCAATGGTTCACAGAAATTCATCATTACTAATTATCTATATAATTTATAAATATCACAGAACGTTTTGTTTCAGAATACCATAAATAAAAGTTTTTTTTTTATTTATTCATGATATTTACAACTGTATTAAAAAATTAAATACATTAAGTAAATTTGATAACAGAAAATAAAAACATGAAATGACTTGTTGAGAAACTACCCACTGGTAGCACTCTAAAAACAAAATGTGTTTACATTAAGAGATCTCGAGGCCATCTTCTTTTCAGACGCCTCGGAGGTTTATCAGGAATAGAAGAGGAAGCAAGGTTAGAGACGAGAGGATTCGGATGGTTCTGAAGTTTATTATGGAAGGATTGGTATCTGGATTGGGCCAAATCGGAAACATAAGGAACATTAAGGTCATTATGGATTATTTTATTGGTGACAAAGTAAGGAGCATTGGGGATTTTCCGAAGGATTTTGGAATGTAAGGATTGGATACGAGAGGAATTCGATGGCTTAGTGGAGCCCCAAAGCTCAACTCCGTAAGTCCAAATAGGTCTTATTGTAGTCATGTATATAAGTCTTTTGTAATTTACTGGAAGCTTAGAGCGTTTGTCTAGTAAGTGTTGGAGTAGTCGGAAACGTCGAGCGGTTTCTTGTCGTTTCAGTCTGGTATGAGGATTCCAAGTTAGACGTTTGTCCAAGTGAAGTCCAAGGTATCGGATTTGTTCAACAGGGATAAGTGGGGTATTATTAAAGGATACTGTGGGACATGAGGTCATAGGTATAAATAAAAGTTAAATTTTTAATAAATAAAATCTAGGCCTATGCAATTAAAAGTTTTATTATAAATTAAAAAAATAACTGTGCAGCTCCTCGAGTTAATTAATTTACAGTTATCTATCCCCAAATTACTAAAAATAAGCGTGTCCTTTTCAATTAAATAAATTTTGGGAAGACGAGGTTCGAGGAAGTCGTGACTGACGGGCTAAGAAACTGAGACTGATGGTGCTTTGGGATGTAGGCACCCGCATACAAAGATCCTTTTTAATGGCAGAGTTGTGACGAATTAAGTAAGGTATCGTATTGCCACGTAACTGCGAATGCGGAACAAAGAGACTTTCCTAGATGGTTTTATTTTATTTTGCATTGTACTCTTTGACTCGGGATTTTGAAGCATTTAAAAATATACCAATGTTTCTAATATTTGGCACACATCAGTAATACATCAAATGTACATTATTTTTAATTTTTGCAAAAATCCGAAATAAATACTTAAAAAGTCGATAATGTAGGCAGTATCATCGTCAAGCAACAAGTGCTCAAGTTATTTATTTATTTGTTTACATAGTTTTAATAGAGTTTTAACTCTATAAGCAAGAGAGTTTAATACGCTAAACATTTCAACTAAACCCTTCATATTACAATTATAAATAATTATATATTTTTATGTTTTAAATGTTTATATCTTAACATAAAAAGTCAATACTTTGTCTTTATCTACTTTTGATACTTATCTTTTCTGAAGATATTAATTATTCTTTCTAGATATGTAATGTTTTTGTTTATTTTTTTTTTCGTCATCTTTCATCATTTATTCTCCCACAACTAAGTATTCTTGAGAAGATTTTGTTTTGTTTTTTAGTTGTTTACATCATATTATTTGAATTATTGTATTTATTGTTGGAATCTATACAAAGTTAGTTTTTTGGCCAGATGTGTATTTTTTAATTATTGTTATTCTTAGGGGATTTTGTCTCAGAATAAAGTTTATCTATTCTATTTTCTCTCTCTCTCTCTCTCTCTCTCCCTATATATATATATATATATATATATATATATATATATATATATATATATATATATATATATATATATACATAATGGGTACTAAAGACAGAGTAGATGCAATAATTACAGACGTGGATATATAGGACTGCATTAAGTTTCGCCGCCCTCTTTGAGCGCTGGGTCGGAAGCAACTCTCTCCAACTTACCTTTAAGCTGACTTAATGTGCTTTTTTTTTTCATTTACTGATGCTTAATGCTTATTAATATTTATTACTAGATCTATCATTGCAGAACGGAGTTTTGTTATAGCTAGAGGCATACAACAGTACTGGCTTCTAATAAAGACCTATTAATAATCGCTTTCATACCTAAACCAGTCGAGCTAAACATTATGTAAAATATTTAGAGTATACAATAAAACAGAATAAATACATATTTTACATATGGAAAGATACTATTATTATTTTTTGATTGTTTTTTCCAACATCAATCTGAAGAAATTAAATAACCTAACATCTGTACATTTAAAAACAAATGCTGATGTAACATTCATTGCAAGGAGTTATAAAATTCATGAATCAAAACAATTATTAATAATATAAATTTAATAATTCTTCGGAAAATATTCACAAAAGCCATATTAAACACGTTATTCTAAAAACATGTTTTAATTCAAATTTAGCATTTTATTAATAGATAATTATCGATTGAGGCTCAAATCTGACGGTCAAAAACAAATTAGGGACAACGTCTACCATGTGGTCACTAATCCAAATGATGAACAAACTGGTCTGTGCTTAAATTAAGTGCTTAACTATTACTTTTCTACTAGCATACTAACTATGACCGTATCAGAAAAAAACGCGTGTGATGAGGAAGCTCAGGCCATCCTTGGTAAGTTTCCAGTCTTGCAACATGTCTATGAAGTTAACATGAAAATTCATTACACGTTGTTTCCGTTAAAGAGAGTATTGCTTTGTAATAGTGGATTTATACGGTTGCATTTGTTCATTTCAGATCGAAAAAAAGAAAAAAAATAGAATTCCAAATATCTTTTTAACTGAATGATGATAAATAAGATAATAAGATATATTTGACCAAACTTTGTGTATAATAGTGAAGGATGAATCACAATTTTAAGTATTGTTAACCAAACAATAGCATTTTCTTAACGATTATTTACACAGCTAATGATGTTGCCTCTGTTGAAAGTACTCTTTGTAACAAATTATTTACATAAGGCACACCACGATGCCGGCGTATAAAAAAAGGTTGGCATTGAATCAAGTAAAGTACAGGAAGACGAATGTGTGTTCTGTAATCCTTAACTTCACCTATGAAATATCTGTAGAAATGATTAGGTGTGTAAAGAAAAATAATATATCAAGTATTAAGTAATATATAAAATCATGAAGATGGCATCCAGTAAAAAAAAAAAGTAATCAGAAAAATTATATTTTATCATGTCTGATGAGCATCTGCTAAGTTTCTTTAAATATATTATAAAATAAAAGCTATTAAAAAAACCTGCAAATTATTTCACAATGGTTTATTATTTCCTAACAATTATACATCTAAAATAACTTCAGTGACACATTCAAAAATCAAAAACCAAAACAAAGAATTTGCAGTAGAACGTAAAATCATCTAGAGACCATATCTTTGATCCTAATTGTTCGATTTTAACGT